TGGGTCACTACTGCAGCTTTTATTTAAAAAAACAGTAGCATGTTAAAGGCAGCTTATCTAATCTGATCTACAGTGGACTAGAGGAACAAACACAAACAATCACTGTACTTCCCCAAAAGTGTCACGTCTTGTTAATGCAGACATTTCAGCATACTCAGTGCATTTGCAAGTTTGAGACTGCATTAGCTTTGACACCACAATGGAAACACCACCTTGTCTAAGGAATACAACTTACAATAAAGAGCAAGTCTCTATTTTTTTTACCCCTTGCCAAAACCAACATCAACCCAATTTGCAAGCACTCAAATTCCAAAAGCTCAAAGGATTCTGCAATCATTTGCTGAACATTTGGTGCCAAGATGCAGGCAGTACTGCTCCCTCAGCTGCGTCCTACCAGCAAAAAGGAAGAGGGATAACGCAAACAAGGTGTTGTGTCAGCACAACAAATCAGAGCAGAAAATCTCCACTTGTAGAATACTGCCAAGTGCATTGGACTTGACTCTTTTTTAAACTTTCTAAATGTCCAGGTTATGCAAGTTTTAATTCTGACAGCTGACTTAGCTGACTTGCTTGTTCTTCAGAAAAAATTTACATCTTAAATATGGAAAGTTTCAACCTTGAGGCAACATTCAAGTTCCACGTAACAAAAACAGAGTTCTTGAAAAAAATACGCAATTTTGCCCATAAGAGAGCAAAACAGACAAAGCTTTCATGCTACTTATTTTCAGTATCTAAGTGTCAACTTCGTTAAAGTCTTGCACTAAAAAGGTTTAACACACTCCTAACTTGTTAATTCAATGGCTTTAATGAATGCATGCTTATTTCTGGGGACACACAAGCTTCAAATGGAAACATTACACCACAGCTAGAATGCCTCCCAGAAATTCCCTACTACTCTTTCCATTTCTACTCAAAGGTGGAAATAACAGGAACGAGGTAAACAGGGTATTGCACATTTTATTCAGGTGTTTTTTTCATAGTCTGAAATCCACATTTCATAGAGAGAAATCTGTAGATATTAGGTGACTACTTTGGAGTTTGCTTAGATAAATCAAATAGATGTGAATTTTTACCTAAGTACAACATACTGAAGAAGAAACAATGGACTAACAGCGCCTATTGGCAAACCAGCAATCCACAAGTCCAGAATAAAAAAGAACTTTAAATTTAGACAAGCACAGGAATAACCAGGAACCCACTCTCAGGAAAACGAAAGATCAGAACCCCGCAGACTTCTTTTTCTACCAAGTTTGACTCAAGAACAAAAGAGGGATCGTATTCAGGCCAAATTAAGTAAATGAGTGAAAAGAGAGAAGAAAAAGCTTTTGAGGACTTGCTGGGAAATTTTAAATAAATAGCTGTCACCATTATTGCAGGACACATGAAGTTTCATCTGTTGTTGGCTGCTGCATTCAATGAAGAGCAAAACAAGAAGCTTAAGTAACTTTTAACTGTTCACGTCTTTAAAACATGCAGATTATATTTGAAACTATAGTAACTACCGAGTAGGTAACAGATCAGAATACACACCCGGTATCTCCCAATCCATGAAGAAAAATGACCTGAGGGAAACAAAAGCAAAAATAACCAAACGTAGCGGTTTAAGATCACTAACCACCCAAACGCACCTCACCCTCGAGCCACAGACGCCCACACAAGGTCAGAGACAGTTCGGAGCTCGGCACCACTTTCTCAGAAGAAAAAACTCCGCTCCGCTCCCTTCCCCTCCCCGGCCCCGCGCCGCCATCTGCGGCCGCCCCTCCGGGGCACCGCTGACCTTCCAGGTGCCGAGCCCAGCCCGCGTCCGGCAGGGAAGTACCGGGAGAGCCCCGTCAGCTCGCCCGGGCCGCCATACCCCGCGGGCCCGGCCCGCCTCGCCCCCCGCCCGGGGCCGCGCAGAACAAAGCGGGGCGGGGGCGGCCCCTCCCGCCGCTCCCGCCCCCCGCCCGCACTCACGGCGGCCGTGGCCTTCCTGGCGGCCGGGACGATGGCGGGCAGCGGCGCCGACATGTTGTTGCCGCACATACACCGGGCTGCGAGGCGGCCGCGGGACACGGGCCAGCAGCGGGGAGGCGGCGCGGGAGGGCGGCGGAGGCGCGGTGGGAGGAGCGCGGGAGGGCGGTTCGGTGCTGGGTTATAACGCCCGGAGGGGTGGGGGGGAGGTGAGAGAGGGAAATTACGGTATTCTTATATAGGTAAAATGTGAAAGAGAAGTCGTGGGAAGGCAGGAAAAACGGTAAAAATGCAGCGAGCAGCATTGTTAGACGGGACTCATTTCTCCTCGTCGGATCAGATGCCTTCACCACCAAATTAAATCTCTTGTCTTACAGCCAGGGAGTCACTGATTCTTCCTCATCTTGAAATGTATTAGGCTATTCAGGCACTCTGATTGAAGTTACTGGATCGTTCCAGTCCATTCCAAGTACTTAGACCAACTCTGAATATGTATGGCAAACACATTTCTATAAAAACTAAATGCTTTGTTCTTTGTCTTCTGTTCCATATATCTTTTGTCATATATTTACTGCCAGAAAGTCAATCAACTCATTGTATTTGCCGGGTGATATCTGGCTGACATGGATGGTTTTTTGGCAGCTCCAACAGCAGCTGAATGCACACTGTTGTTCTTTCACATCCTTCCCAGTGGCGTGTTCCATACTAGATAGGGATGATTTTTCACAAAGCTTTTGCTCAACAACGTTACCATCACAGCTGCATAAAACATATTGGTGAAGCCTTTGTGCCAACTGTGTAACATTAAACATGCACCCTCTTTTGCTGTGATTGTTAGGCTGTTTTGATACACAGTATTGATGCCAGGGCATCCTTGTTTTTGCTAAAAGTGGATTATTTTCACAGGTAACTTTTTATGTTTTGATTTGTCTCTGTGTTTATGTGTGCTCTTGCCTGATGTACTGTACCCAATTCAAGTCTGTTAAGAAAATACAGTTTATGCATCAAAAATTCTAGAGGAGCTTCACATTATGTCAGGTGCTTATTAAGTATGCTGAATCTGATTCCTGCTGTAGATCATCCTTTTGGGACATGAACAAAATTTTGCTTTCCCTCTCTACTCTGCTATTTACCATGTAAATGTCACTTCCATAAGGTGAGCTACTGCTGAACCTCCAGCCTAAGAAGTCAATAGTCTGCTCACAAATAGAACAAGCTTTTAATATTTTAGTCAGTATAGCTGGAATGATCTTACTTGAATTCCTGGTTGCTTGTAGTATGGCTCAGGGCCACTGGAGAATTGTGAGCTATCCATGGATTGGACACAAGCAAGTCAGTCACACTCATCAGGATTGCCTGTGCAGGCATGGGGCAGTCTGCTGGTTACAGGCAAGTGTTTGAGAAACTGACCATCTGGAAGCCTGAAGGAATTGCTGAAAACATCTGAATTGTGAACCTTTCAAAGAGTGGTAAGTTGTCTGTCTCTTTAAAATGAGATATCTATCACAGGAACGGTACTTTTCTACCTTGTTTCAAGTTTCTGTTTAAAGCAGTGAGAGCTTTACAAGGCAAAGCATGCTCTAAATTATCTATTTTTCCCTATCCTAAAGGCTAAAATGAGCTTAGATAAGATGGTTGTCCAGACCAGTATCTTGTTTACTACTATATCGTAATTTTTCTTAATTTTTTTTAAGGAGGTAAGAAGCTATACGGATTTCATACTAAAACTCACAGCATGCTGCAATGTGATTTCCATTTTTACGCCCATTTACTCTCAGGAATGGCAGAGCTTCTGCATGACCTCCAGTCTGAAGCAGACATTCAACATGGAAGAAGGTATCAGTCAAACAGAAGTTTTGGGATGGAAAGCACAATATTACACTGAGGAATATCATCTGACTTTCATAACAGGAAGTGGCCTTTCTGCTCTGTAACTCCTCAGCAGCAGCTTCTACAATTCAGTTCTTCAGTCCAGTAAGCCTGCACCCTGCACACCCTTCTCATCAGACCAATATACTAATGGAAACTGCTGTGTGGCTTTCCAGTAGGTCTGCTTTTAAATTTAAAATATTGAAATAATACATGGGATCAAGTACTGCAGCAGTACTAGGAAAGTCTCTGTCTTGGCCAGCTGGTCTTGGCTGGAGTAGAGTTAATTTTCTTTGCAGTGGCTGGCATGGGGCTATGTTTTGGATTTGTACTGAACACGGGGTTGATAATATAGAGATGTTTTTGTTATTGCTGAGCAGTGTTCACATAGAGCCTTTTCTGCTTTTTATACTACCACACTGGTGAGGAGGCTGGGGGTGCATTGGGGGTTGGGAGGAGACACAGACAGGACAGCTGCGCCCAACTGACCAAAGGGATATTCCAGACCATAGGACATCATGCTCAGTATATAAAGTGGGGGGGAAGAAGGAGGAAGGGAGATGTTCAGAGTGATGCTGTTTGTCATCCCAAGTAACCATTATGTGTGATGGGGCCCTCCTGGAGATGGCTGAACACCTGCCTGCCCATGGGAAGCAGTGCATCAATTCCTTGTTTTGCTTTGCTTGTGTGCATGGCTTTTGCTTGCCCTATTAAACTGCCTTTATTTCAGCTCACGTGTTTTCTGGCCTTTACCCTTCTGATTCTCTCCCTCATCCCACTCGTGAAGGAGTGAATGAGCAACTGCATGAGGCTTGGTGTCTGGCTGGGGTTAAACCACGACAGTCTCTAATCAAAATAGATATTGCCAGTGAGTATCTGCCTTAAGGTTGTTTGTATTGACACAGAGCACACAGCACCTTGAGCTGAGCCATGTTCAGTGCACCCTCAGCCAGGCGGGTTTCGATGCAGCCTGATGGTTTTAAAGGCTCGGCTTTGAAACACTTGGCTGAGGTCTGTGTGAGTAACAGAACAGTAGGTGCTGTAAAACGACACGCAGTGCGGGCCCTTTGTCCACTCCATTGGAAGTCCCAGCTCACGCATCAGTAAAACACTGGGCCCGCCCCGGCGCCGGCGGCGCGACGCTGCTGGGAAGGCGCGGGCGGTGTGATTTACGGCCGTGCCGTAAAGCGTCTCGGCCGGGCGCGCTAGCGGCTGGCGCCCTTGAAAGGGAACGGCCATGAGCGGGAATGGCGGCAACAGGGCCCTGGAGCTGCTGCGCTCGCTGCCCAGGGTCAGCTTGGCCAACCTGAGGCCCAACCCCGGCTCCAGAAAGCGGGTGAGTGCCTGCAGCTTGCCGGGCGGCACGCCCGATCCCGGTGTGGTTTACCTCCGGGAATGTCAGAAGGACAGATAGAGCAAAGTGGAAAGGCGAAGGAGTGGGTGGCGCTGCTGTGTGTGCTAACGCTGCCCTAGCCCTTGCATGCCTTGTGTGTATGGGCATCCCCACAGAGAACTGGTGGTGGCTAAACCTCGGGGCCGTCGCTGGGGACGGGTAGAAATAGTGAAAGGTCTTTAACACCACATTGTGTGCGATGAGGTAATGCGTTTGGAAGGAGAAGGTTAGAAAGCTTACAAAGAAAAGGAATGTGATGCCAGATGACATTCTGGTTACTGTTGCTTTCTCGAAAACAAAACTAAATGTTGACTTCCCTGTCTCCTTACAAAATGGTAGAGAAATGAAGAAAGGAAACCAGGAAGAAACCCTTTTGGTTTGAGAGGAATATCAGTAAACAGGGTGATGAGGTTCAAGGGCTGAAACCACAGGAATAGGGAACTGACAGGGAGTACTAAGCAGCGCTCTCCTGTAGGTACTCAGGACTCCCTGGAGCTGCTAAATAGTACAGAATTCAACTGCAGTTTTGTGCTAGACTCAACTATCCCTGCTACCAAAGGAAGCTGGCTTGTCCCCAGACTATTTGTGCTGCCTGTCTAGAGCTGTGCTCTGCAAAAATCACATTAACTGCTTTTCTGTTTTTCCTCTCAGAAAGGATCTATCTCTTCATTTTTCTCAAGAATTAGCATTTTGTTCAGTTGTTCATATCTCTGAAATCTTATATTTTATAGCTCCTTCTCTCTGAAGTAGTTGACCAAATGTATTGTTGATTGTTTTCAAGGAAAGAAGACGTGGCCGTGGAAGATACGGAGGTAGGAAGTGTGGCCGAGGTCACAAAGGAGAAAGACAAAGAGGAAATCGCCCCCGATTAGGCTTTGAGGGTGGTCAAACTCCATTTTACTTGGTCATACCAAAATATGGATTTAATGAGGGACATAGGTAAGTTTCTTCACATTTACTTTGAACTTAATTGTTGTCTGCTTTTCTTGATCTTTCTCATGAAGCCAGAATCTAATATGCCAAAACAAGCCTAACCGAAAAAGCTGAGTTTTTATATCTGGTGTTGAAGACTTCTGTGCCCATACAATGCTGTTACAGGCAGTGGTAACAAAAACATGCCACATCTATCCCACAGGTCAAGAATGAAAAGGCTACTGTGTATTTGTGAATTGTTCAACTTGCGGTTTGATTTCATGCTCCATTTGCTGATATAACTTCATCAAATAACTGTGTATTTTTACATTTCATTCTTTATGCATGCAGTAGAACTTGCAAACCTGACCCAGCATTTAAAGGTTTTCTCTGAGTCTTAATAGTTTTGAAGTGTGATTCAAATTCTATTTCCAGCTACTGTCATCTCCTTCTGTTTGCTTGGATTATTATAAGAGTAAACAAGAAGCACTTTGGGTAGCTGGAGACAGAGTGTCGATCCACAGTCCTACAAAGGAAATGCTACAGAATGCAGACATTGAGCTTCTTATGTTAACAGTGGTCATAAGTTCATGAATAACCAACAGCAAACAATGAAACTGCTGCTATGACAAGGAATTATTAGGGTCTTGCTGTTTTTAACCACATCTGACAGCACGTGGAAACAAAAAAAGTACTCCGTAGTTTCAATGCTATTTGAAAAATTTTGATGTCAATCTGTTATAGATGTTTCTGTAGGAAACGTGGCAACTGCACTCGAGAGATGCTATTGAGGCACACTGAACAATGTTTCTGCCTGTTTACCTTCACCTCGCTCCTCTCTCTGTCTGCAGTGGTGTTGCTTCACTTGTTGAGCTTTCACTCTGTTAGGAACCGTCTGACAGCGCAAATTCTGTTGCTTACCTTTCTTACGGAGCCTGGCAATGACAGAGATGAGCTGCTTCCCAGTTTTTCTGCTGCCATTCACAGATTTCCAATGGCAGCAGTCAAACCGATTGTAGGAGAAAGTTCTGAGCTCCAGCATAAATGGTGTGCGGTAGACAGGGTCACCAGCGCTGGGAAAACTGTTCTAGGGATTTATTTGTCTGGTAAAGTTGGAACTTCAGAAAACACAAAAGTAGGTTCTGCTGAAGCCGATGGCTGTTGACAGGAGATTCTAGCTCCCTTTGGGGATGTGGGTTAATTGCATATTTTCTCAATGTTTCTCTTCCTTGGTGGAGTTTTGAGGAAGGTTCCATTCAGTACTTCTGAAATGCTGGGTACAGTGGTAATGGACTAAAAAATCTTGTTGGATATGAGCTATGCAGGAGCACATACGGTGTTTGGCTGATAGACTTTGACTAAATTTGTATGGGAAAAGAGGGGATGTTTGTTTTTTTGACTGTCTATCAGTGAAGCTCCTAAGCTGGATTCACTTTGAAGGTGGTAGTTATTTACAATCTTGTTGGCTTACCAAGAATTGCTGGCACTTTAATTTCTTAGTATTTTTTTCTTCCTTAGACCAGTCAGTAGGCAGAGAGGTATTATCGACTAAAGTGAACTCAGCAACAGCAGAATGATTAATATCATATTGGAGATGGGAGTGCGTGGGCAAACCTGAAGGCACCGTGGAGTCTTGGATTGTAACTAGGGCTTGTATTTGCAGTAAATTAAAATTTTTACTTGTAGACAAGAGTATTTTAAACATTTACTTGGTAATTCGAGGAGTAGGTAGAAACTGGAATCTCAGTTGACTGATTGCTATTAAAGCTTCAAATCTGTAAATTTCTCATTGTTTTGTTGGGGTTGATTTTTGTTTTTTTCTTCTCTCTCCAGCCTCAGACGTCAGTATCAACCACTCAGTCTTCAGAGGCTGCAGTACCTGATCGATTTGGGTAGAGTTGACCCCACACAACCAATTGACTTAACACAGCTCGTCAATGCTAGAGGTGTAACAGTGCAACCTCTCAAGAGGGATTACGGTGTCCAGCTGGTGGAGGAGGTAGGCATTATAACACACCTATTACTTCAGGCTTTCAAGTTTTCCACCCCAGGCTGTCAGATTGTCATTACCATGTTTTGGAATCATCTTTGCTTTCCTGAGTTAGTTTGCTGTGGAATTTTTGTGTATAATAAATCCACTAGAGGGCACTGTATGTCAGCAAAAAAAAACCCCAGACAATTTCAATACCTGATATGCTGCAAAAACAAGAGATAAGGAGCACAAAAGGTTGAACAAAAAAAGTAACAAAAGGTTGAACAAGTATTTTACGACAGAAGACTAAAATGTACCAAAAGAAATGTATGAATATTCTGGAAAGGCAAAGTTGTTTTCATTCAACCCAGGTGACTGAGTGAGAGCAATTTGGTTCCCATCTTGATGCAGGAAGCTGACAAATTCTAATATTTTGCAGGATTTAATGTTTCTTATAACTTTTTAGAGAAGAATAGATGTATGTCTTAAAACAGTCATTTTGATGTTTCTCTAATGTGTTGAAATTTACAGGGTGCTGATATTTTTTCAGCAAAAGTAAATATTGAAGTGCAGAGGGCATCTGAGTTAGCAATTGCAGCCATAGAAAAAAATGGAGGTGTTGTGACAACATCATTCTATGACCCAAGGAGTTTGGGTAAGAATTTCTTTTAATTTGTGCCTTTTTTTTTTTTTACTTTGAATGTGCAAAGATTAAATGATCCCAACCACAGTTTCAAACAGAGTTTTTAATAGAAAGTAATCAGCTTCTTCTTCTATTCTAAAAGTTGCAAAAACACACAGTTACACAAATATTTGTAGAATCATAGAATATTTTGGATTGGGAAGGACCTTAAAGATCATCTAGTCCCAGTCCCCAACGATGAATGGTAATGCATCCTTAATTTTGCTTTTTTAAACCATTCACCTGTTTAGTCCTAGCAGTGTTAGCAGTTCATTTACCAATCAACCAGCTAAAGAAATCTGAGTAGCTTTGTAAATAGAAGAACCAATAACATTGTTTCTCAGAATTTTTTCTTCTGTTTCACACGTTTGGTAACACTAAGAAAATTCAGGAAAAAATAGGTTTAAAAGCTGCTGTAGATACTTACAATTTTTAATTTAAAATGCTTTTCCAGTTAAAGTGAGGAAGTAAGTAAGTTACAGAAGCTCAGAATCATTCCAGTTAAAATGGCTATTGTTTTCAGAACACTTTCACTGAAGAATAAGGCTTTGCTTTGCTTGAGGCTGCATCCTGCCTAACATTCATTCATGCAGTTTTTATTGACAATAATAGAGCTTTCATGTGTGAATGAGGCTGGGAAGAAGAGGAATAGACATTTTTAGTCTGTAGAATATCATCCTGGAGTGATACAAGTTGTTTTTATTTCCAATCCAGAAAATAATCAAAATAATGAGGTTAAAAGGTCCTGAAATATAATTTGCCAAAATCAGTAAAACTTGAGGAGGAGAGAATAGTTCCACAAGACTAAATAGGTGCATGTGCCATTGATACTTTATTTAAAATACTTATAGAAGCACTACATTTGACATTTGTTGGTACAATGTGTAAATAGCCATGCAAAAGCATTGCTTCAAACCTGGAAATAGTCCTTTAAATAAATGGCAGCATCCAGATTAGTTATGCTTATCTTTCTAAAGTAGGCATTCTTAATGTGTTAGAAGTAATGACTCATCCAGATTGACACTATAAATAACAATTAAAACAGACTTGTTTTTTTGATTAAGTGAAACTTGTAAACCACTATCTCATTCTGAGCAAGAATATTCTTGAGATTTGTTTTTTTTTTGCTTGATACTTTTTAATAAGAGTTTAATAATTTATTTAGTACAAAATGAGGAAGTGTCAGTCAATGTTTTTAAGTATCTATTATAAAGTACAGTAACTAATTTTGTCTCATGTTTGCCCACAGGAATTTTGTGTAAGCCAGTACTGTTTTTTCTGCGTGGCCAGCCTATTCCGAAGCGAATGCTTCCACCTGAAGACCTAGTACGTTACTACACAGATGCCAGGAACCGGGGTTACCTGGCAGATCCATCTAAGGTTGCGGAAGCCAGGCTTGAGCTTGCCAAGAAATACGGCTACATCTTACCAGACATAACCAAGGATGAACTATTTAAGATGTTAAGCGCACGCAAGGATCCTAGACAGATATTTTTTGGTCTTGCTCCAGGATGGATTGTAAACCTGACAGACAAGAAAATTCTAAAACCGACTGATGAGAGTCTCTTGAAATACTATAGCACATGAATTCAGGACTGGAGACAGCTGCAGGTGTTCAGGAAACATCTGGGTATGAAATAATGGATAGAAGTGGTGTGTTGTTTGTTTGTTTTTAAGACTTCTATTATACTAGATGAAACATAAATTTTTGTTCATGTAATCTTCTGGTGTAGCTCTCAACTTTTTTATTGTCATAACACAGTGTATCGAAAGTCTTAAAATTGAAAACAGTGTAGAATCTGATATAAAGTATGGGTTTGGGCACTTTCTCTTGTGATGGTTTGCCGGTGTTTTTTTCAGACAGAGGGTTTCCATATTGCATTGGTTTCAGAGGATAATTCCAAAGTGTAGTTTGACCTAATAATTGGTTTATATTTCCCCCTTCAATTTAAAATCGGAAATATGACTGTACAGACCTAATATTAGTTTTACAATAGTATTGCGTAAAATTATAAGTTTTAGAAAATGTATCTTGACTACCTCTAAGAGGCAAACCATCTATTTTTGGTTGAGGAAAAATAAAAACAGCAGGAAATAACAAAGTTCAAAAGGTTTCATTAACCTCTCCCATTCCATAGCTGTGTTTTGGATTTTGCCATTTCCATCAGTAGCACTAGAGCTTGAGAGGTCTTGACTTTTGTCCTATTTCTTCATATGCAATTGAGAAAGACAGGGTGTGCAGTTTGAAGTAACTTTCTATCTACACTTGGAGGGGGGGAAAGACTGCTCTTAAATCAATGGCTTTTATTATTCAAACAGAATTTAAACTTGTCCAGACAAAATTGTAATGTCATTAATAAAAATGCATAGGAGAATCCAGAGTCGTTGAATGACAGTGGCTATAGATTATGAAGGATGGGGATGTGACAGACAAAGTACACAGGATTCAGTTTCCAGCTTGGTCACAGGTTGCATCTGTGACAGTGGACAAATTAATTTAAATATTGTGAGAAGGTATGAACAAACTGTTTTTTATGAAAAACAGTGTTTTAATCACACCAACTTGTGTGTCTTGAAAAATATTTTCCAACAAACTTTTGTTTTATCAGTCTCTCCAGAATACTACATTGTTACTATGCAAGAATATTTTAGGTTTCATACATAAGCTTAGGATTGGGTGTTTGGAATGATGAGCCAGGCAGTAAAGATGGGTGAGAGAGGAGACCGAGTTAGCCTATCAGAACTTGCTCTGATTCCTTGGAAGTTAATGAGCTGCTTCACAACTACATGGTTTAGTGGAAGCTGATTTGGCTTTAAAACAGGGATAATTTGGTTATTAGAATGCAGGAAACAGTCCAGGAGATCAGAACACGAGAAGTCGTCTTGCTTTCCAATTTTCATGTGCCTTTGCAAATGCTGCTTAAGAGTTTCCTGTAGCTGCCGAACCATCCTATCTCATAGAGGAAGTCCTCTGTGTACCAGAATCTCCTGTTTCTCCTGTATAACACCTGTATTTTCTGGGATGCCTCAGTGGGGGAGGATTTAAAAACAATTTTCTTTTTGTTTCAGAGAATAAAAAGAAGTGGATGAATTTTTGTTGGTGTTTGTCAACCAGCCCGGATTTTTCCTTCACTCAGCAACCTGCCTTGTCAGTTAATATGAGCATCTGTAATCACAAAACAAAATAAAACAAGTCTTCTATTCTCATTCTGATTAAATAATCTGAAATCAAGAGATTAAGAATAGAGAGTGACTAATTTTTGACAATTTACTCTTCAAGTTCTATTGTTAATTGTTAATGTGTGTTTGATGCTGTCAGTAGTGGTTGTTCTCCCGACTTGTGGTTTAAGTGTAGGTGAAACAGAGAAAAACAACAGCCATATAAAATTGGATTATGAATAGCAGGAATTTGGTTTTAGTGGCATTAACATTCGTATTTTATAAGGTGCCCAGCATTTTTTGGCACGTCAAGAATAATACTGTGTGCCAAAAAAAGTACAGTTGGTGTTAACTTGAATGTGAAGTAAATAACTTTCTCACTTTAGATGTATCCTGTCCTGCATCCTGATGATTGTTGGTTTGGAACCTTAGATGACAAGCAATACTTTCTTTTTTTTTAACTTTTTTTTAAACTTTTTTGTTATTACAATAACTTTACAATAACAATATTACTACTGCCTCCATTTGGGAAGGACTTGGAGGGGGGGAAGAGTATTTATTGCCTTCCCTTATTTGTGCCATAATGTTTCTGTTTTTATGAATCAATTCACAATTGTATTTTGTGGAGGTGGTGGTACTCAACAGGAAAGCTACTTAACTGGAAGTGAAGAAGGAAGTTAGTCATATTAGTGAAGACCAGAAGACAAAAGTGTTTATGTATCATTGTGTATTTTGGGGAGGAGAAGACTGGGGAAAGGCAAGTTTGTTTCCATTCCTGCTCTTTGTATTAAAATGAACAAATTGCTCTCAGCAATTTTTTTTCTAAGTCAACTTCTTTGATACACACACGCGTGCACGCGCTGGTTTCTCTGGGTCTCTAAATGGTTTTCAGGTGAAAGGGTAACTTGGATAAAATGATAACAGTGAAAGAAAGAATGAAAACAGGAAACAGATGTCTGGTGACGTTGAGGGATTGGATAGCACTTATTCAGTGAACGATGTCTTAGTCACAAGGCAGCTGTATCCTGGCTCTGATACTATAACGCTACAAATACCTTGGAGCCAAAACAGCCACGTTCCACCAAATCCGGTCATTCTACTTTATAAAGGTGATCTTTTATCATCTTATAATTGGAGAGGGCAAAAAAGGGCTGCATGTTCCTTTATTTAAAATATGCAATGCTTGTCTTTTTTTCTCATTTCTATTTACAGTAGCCAGTATTTTATATCAGTTGTTTGGATTTTTATTTACTAGTGAAAAAAGTGACAAGGCTATAGAGGATTTCCTGTTCTTTTTATCTCATCGGGAACACAAGTCTCCTAGCAACCAAATATGGAATTATCAAAAACACAAGTAAGTTATTGACAAGGTTTTTAATAAATCCATCATAAACAGCCTCCCGATGGACTGTCGTTTATATGAGGGTCAGGCCCACTGGTGCAAGACTCTTAAAACAACACTGGCATCTAAAGCCATACTCTTTACTTAGGAATATGAACCATGTTTTCATGTTCATAAGATAAATGATTGCCTTGGATATCCCGTTTTGATAGGAGTTTTTCTTATGCAACAGTATGTTACACAGCAAGAAGCACCCAATCTGCTGTAGGTGGAAAAGCATTATCAGGTAGCTGAGGAAAAGAAACTTATTTGTGTCACTAAATGCTAAAAGCCGTGTCAATTTTTATCAGCAACATCATACTTTGAAATGGTTCCTTGATAAAACCAATTACCTATGTTCAACTGCAATCAAAATAAAGGCCTCTAAACAAGTACATACCTTGTTTTATACCATAGTAATTAGAAATCACCTGTTTCTGGGGAGAGAAACTCTACCACCTGCAGCCAGTCAATGCTATAATTACAGGTGGCTGACTGCAGACTCGAAGTGAATTAAAATATATATATGTGTTTTCCCTTTTGCTCCTATGTACGGTAATGACATGCTGGCTTCATTATGCTTCATACAGAATTTGCATTTAGCAATCAAAAGTTGACTGTACTATCCACGGATTTCCAAAAAGGAATACATTAATAAATCAGTGGCTCTGCTCCGAATCTTCACTGGCAGTGTGCCAACATTGTTTTGACATAGAGGCATAATTGATGTTGGTGCTCCAGGAAGTCATATAAAGGTGATCAATTATGAAGATAGCTTCCCATTACAATTTTATTATTTTCTATTATTCTATTATTTCTCTTTTCTATTATTTTCTATATTAAAATTTTAAATGCTAGTGCAAAACTAATTTTGCACTGTTGAACTCTCACAAGTTCTCTAGATAATTTGAAATTGTTGCACAAGTCCCATATTCTAAATATTTAACTGTTATATTTGCATATCTCTGAAATAAAAAAGAGACTCTATCCAAAATGACCAGTTTAATATTCCATATGCAGCTTTATTTTTAAAAATTTTCTGATATATGATCAGCTGGGAATAGTTTTACATAACTCACAGTCTGTACTTCAGTATATTGTTATGGTTTAGTCTATGAAAAGATGTAGTTAGAGGTCCAAAGTTCTTGCCTATTAGAAGAAAACTATGAACTTTTTAAGCTCCTTTATCTCCTAGCCCAGGTGGCTCGTCTTGGTCTTTTGTAACAGGGATATATGGCATTGTCTAAAGAAGTATGGTTTCTCAATGGAAGCAAACTATCCTCAGATCTATTTTGTGTCCTTTGCTTAATGTTCCCTCTCATGCATCTGCATCTTCCCAAGGTCCCTTCTCACCTCTCCTGTTGTAGTGGTGGGAACGACAGGGCTTGATCATTCTCACAGTGTCATCCTGTCTGGCCCACTCTGGGTTTGAAAATCTGGTTGTTTTATGTGCCTCTGGAGCAGGAAAAGTGTTGATCATTCCTGCATCTGTTTATATGAGGGGGTTTTTCGTGGCTTGAGTTTCCTGGACTGGTGTTGCTTTTGTTGTTAAAAATGTCAACAGCAATGTTGTTTACTCATTAACCTTGTAGATTCCAAGACACATGCAGAGCAGCTTGGAGGGGCCCTTTGGGCGATGTATTTGGCATTTATCAGAGCCACTGAACACTCCTAGAAGAGTGCCTGTGCACTTAATTCAGAATTGCACACACTAGATACAAATCTGAACAGATGAGTAATTTTGAGTTCAATGCACCAATGCCCAAATCAGTCTCTCTTTTTACTTTTCTCCAGCCTCTGTGAGATTCATTCTGTCTCCTGGTAGGATTGTCCTGTCTGTCTATGAATATGGACAGATTAGTCCATATTTAGCCTGAAAGCCTACCATTTCTTATTGTTAATATTTTTATTGTTATTCCTTGGGCAGCTAGAAGTTTGTGGACATAGAGCAGTCTGTGAAAAATAAGTTGATGTGTAAATTCATAGTAAACTAGTTCTCCAGGGATTTTTGTAAGGCTGGTGTAGTTTGCTCCCAATGTGCAGTACCTTAAGAAAATAAATTCCTTTGATATCTGACAAGGGAGATGCTTTTTTTTTCTTTGTTGAATGTAGCTGTGGTTCAGGGCTTCTAGAATTGGAACCCAAGTTCCCTATAAAGTTATTATAGTGAGGTATTGTCTTATTTTCAAAATTAATGCAACTCTAAATTTACATTGTTCGCATGTAGACAATAGCTTAAGCTCCTTTTATAGGCAGTAGTAATGTGTTTGATCCAGTCAGTGGAGCCTGAAGAATCACTGCGCTTAGCTTGGAGCAGACATCTGAGCAATTGAATTACATGCTAGGCTCCACTGACTGTGACAATAGTTGTCATATACAGCACTTCTGCATGCACCCAAAACTTAAGCATCTAGAGCTGAATCCCACTCTATGTTTTCAGTGACCCAAGATGTTTGAAGTTAATGGGCGGAAATTCTCGTCAGGATTCACATACGCCAGGGGAAATTGTGAAGCTTGATGTACTAGGTTGTATTTGTCTTTGAAAATAATTTTTTAATTATTTAATAAACCCACAAGTTAGAGGACATTGGTGCCATGAGAAGTGAGATGCTGACAATCAGACAGTGTTATTTTACAACTATTGGAGACAGCGGCTTTTCTAGGATACAGTGTGACATCCCCCTAGGGATCTGTGACATCCCCACCCTCTGACTTTAAAGGTGGGTGACTCCCAGTTCCCAGAGCTGCACTGATATTGGCACACAAAATTTGCCTGCCTGCCCTCTTTGGCCCTTGTGTAATACATGGCTGATGTTTCTGCTAGCTCTAATGTATGTTTCCTCTGTAAGGGAAGATGGAAATTAAACTCGTCTCCATTTGCAAAAGAAAAAATGGGAGAGGAGAATGGTGCCTCTCTTGAGGTGTCTGCTTCAGCAAGTGGTGCTGCTAACGGTTAGAGAAGGTGACTGGGATGCTTAAACACAGATATTGTGTCATTACTGTTTGAGAAGATGCAATCCAGTGTGTCTCATAGGATACCTTGTACAACTACTGTGTGGCTTGTAGTGTTTATGTAAAACTTGTGCAGATTTGAACTTGTCTTTTCTCCTGTTTTCGATGTTTTCTGGGTCCCTGAAACATCATAGATGTGCTTGCTTTTTGTGCACAGGCAATCATTTATCCCTTCTTTTTCTTTTTTTCTTCTTTTTGCTTGGCAAGCCAGTTGCACTTATCGCAGCAAGCAGTCTGGGTATGGGTCATGTTCGAGGCTTGAGACTGTTCCAGACAAAATATTATTCTACTGGTTTTATGTTGGACTTGGCTGATGTGACGTTGCTGCAACCCTGACTTCTAGGTAAAATGTCTGGGCTAATTGTGACTTTATTGTTGGTTTTGGAAGGCTTCAGCCCTTCCAGGTTCATCATTAAAGACAGGTGTTTACTATGGAATGATCATAAAATGAATTACCATAGCAAGGATGTGATCATGTTCCAAAATTTTACCTGGGTCATTTTTTTTGCACTCATTTGTATGTATCTGAGGGGATTGAAGCACTGGGGTGCTCTGAGTTTGTCTTTGATGTGGGAAACCTTATCTGTCCATTAAGAGAACCTAAGATGAAAATGGAAGGTAAAAAGCTGTCGAGTCATTTTTGCTGCATTCTGAGAAAAGTGCATGTTTTCCCAATTCCAACTGTTGCTCTTGGCTGAGTTGGATGACTTTGCTTACAGCCTATTGGGAAATGGCAATGGCAGCAGACCACCATGAGCACTGACACGCAGCTATGGTACTGTTGCTGGCCTGAGCAAAAGAAAAGATAATCTTGCTGACTTGGGAACATGAGAATCAAAGTATGAAAGTCCACCTGAGGAGATTCCAAAGTCATAAACGTGCGTATTCTTAAAACACCACTGAAACTCTGCTGCATGTTTGATTGCTCTTTGCTTTTGCTGACTGTAGTGTTACGAACTGTAAGCATTCAAGAGATTATTTAAAGAATACATTTTAGGTTTTCTTTGTTGTCCTTAGAGTTTTCAACCCTGCAGGGATCTAGTTTCCAAGCATTGTTCCTGTATCCAGCAAGGCTAGAAGCAAATTTAAAAAGTGGGAGCCAGCATTTTCATGTGATGGCATTATTCCAGGAACTGGTGCTTTAGGAATAACAGTAAATATTGTGAGGCTTGCAAAACAGTTACTGATTCATTGCTTATACCCTGCTGGCATTTTCATTGTTTGGGAGCATAACTCCTCTGCTGTCTCTTCAGTTGACCTCAAGTCACGCCTCCTCAGCACGACAGAAACACGTCATTGTTTCCAGCATCCAAATCTGAGGGTGACAAATATAATATTACCAAGTACATAAGCATCCCGCACAGACATCCTCCTTCTCTGCTCCTCTCTTCTAATTATGAGACTGCTATGGTCATTTGTGGTGCTGAGAGTTGTATCTGCTTACTGGGGACAGGGAGAAACTCTGGTGTCCTGGTACAGGCAAGACTGACACCTAGTGACCAGACACATCTATTCCTGTGGGAATTCACTGAATTCTGGTTCAGTCACTATTCAGTCTTAGAAGTCTGGAAGGCTTAAACTTCAAAGTGTTCAAAGTGAAGAGTTAATTTATTTCATCATCACTTTTGGCCTTTGTTTTCATTGTTTCTAGTGTACTCTTCTAAAGGTGGAGTTCAGGTAGCTTTCAAGCTTCAACTCTTAATGTTGGAGCTTAATGAAGGTTTTGCACATAGTTTCCTGGGAGCTGGGCATAACAGCTGCTCTGAGCATACTGAGGTGGCTGATAGCAATCAACAGTAAGTTCAGAGTATCGTCCTTTTGTGGTTTTTCCTTAATAAAATCATGGCTGATCATGGTGTTGGTATTATTTTTTTGCTCATCCTCTGTTAAAGAATCCAAAATCAAATATAGTGGGATATTCTCTGAGTTGCAGAATTTTCTCTCTACAGTTGTCTGCTGACCAGAGGAAGCATCTTAAAATGATGCTGCCACCTGGAAAGCACTACCTGTTCCATCATCATTGCAGATCCTGCTGGAAATGCTCTGAGTTCTGGGCCTTAGCAAACTGCATACCAAAGAGGAAGAGTAAAACTTAGCTAAAGTTTTCTGTAGCTAAGTGTTCTTCCAGAGCGCTTCTGACTTTTCTTTGGTTATGTTGATTTCAAGAGTATAACATATTTCTGAGAATTGTCTGTGACCTTTACCTAAAGCAGTAGCCATATAAATTTAGGGAAACAGCCCCTCCAATGTGAATCAAGCAGTCATCTCCTTGTAAGTCCACATGTTGACTCCAAAAGTAGACTTCAGAGGTTCCCCACGCTAATGGGTTTCCCACAAAACCCTAAAAAAGTCTTCTTGGAGCAGTCCTTGGGACTGGAGGAAT